CATTTCAATATATTTTTTATCTTAAAGTTCACAAAAAAATTCTAGTCCCCTCAAAGTGAAGGAAAATCATTGAAAATATCTCTGATTTAAAATATTTTTCTAATCTAAAAAGAATCTTAAAAAAGAAAAAAGAAAGAAATGCCCTAAAAAATGTAGAAAAATTAAATCCTGCAGTGGAAAATCTTTGAAAGTTCAAAATAATTTAACACAAAACTTCACTAGAACCTCTTATCAAACAGCATAGCAAGGAAAATGGGTGTGGGGGGAGGTAAAGATCATTAAAAACATCTTCCAATTTAAAAAGATTTTACTAATCTAAACATGATTTTATCAAGTTAATTGAATTTCAATTTTATTCTTTCTGAAAAATTGTTCTAAATTTCTTTCTTTAAATTTACTGATCAATTTTAGCAGCATAATGCACAAAAAGTTTTGAGGATTATAAATTTTTCTTTTAAAAAATTATTTGTATATAAATATTTATTAAAAAATATTTGTATATAAATTATTTTAAAAATTATTTGTATAGTCCAAACACATCTGTATACAGTGGAATACGTTAACGTGAAAACGCTTAAGGCGAAATATCGTTACATGAAATATGCAACGGGTCCCGACAAACTACTATGTATTTTCATGCATTTTGTTTCTCTTAACACGAAACAAAAAACACTTAACATGAAAAGATATCCTTTCTGGAAATGAACAAAATACAGAAAACACTGGCATCGCTGGTGAGATTTAAGTGGGGTGTGAAATGAAAGAGAGGTGGTTTCACGTGTTTTGTAGAAAAGAGACTAATTTGGCTTTGAAATACCCTCGAAATAGCCTGTGACATGAGCCAGTTTTGTTTATCTACGGTACTTTCGCCTTCCACGTCTACAAACGCAAACGCCACACATCTCATCTCTCATCAGTTAGCTTTGGAATTCATAATGATAATGGCAGTGTGAGTAAAAATTAGTGAATTTGGCTTATGTTGCACTGATAGAATTCAGCGACTCCAAGGATGAAGAAAATTATTTTCATTATACAAACCATTCTCAAAGTATCAGATTCTTCGGCGCCGAAAGAACTGGAGAAGTAGATATGAAACTGAGGCTGACCTTAATGAAATGTTTGAGAAAGTTTATTATGAACTGTCCTACTGTATATCGGAAGAATTCGTTGCAGTAGTTTTTTGATAATGTGTGTACAGCCCCAATTATGGCAGACAAAGTTATTTTGGAGTTTTTCATAGCTAAAAGATATCATTGATGCAATTCTGATGACGAAAATAAAATGAATGCAGTTCGTGTTCCCACTCATTCGAATGAGGAATATCATAAAAGTATGGACATTTACTTAGAAGCCATTCCAATGGTGAATGAATAACAAAATGTTTGACATTGAACAATTTGATGCTAAAAAGACAATGCAAAGAAAAATATCAGATTATTTTCCCAAACTCAATAAATGTTTTGTTTTTCAAAAACTTGAAAATTTTGTATTAAATTCCATTAAGTTCTTGTGGATGTTTTTTGTTCATTGGTTTTTATTAAATACATGCATATATACATATCTATGTAGATAAAATGTACTCTAATAGCTTAATTTGTTGAATTATGCTTTTTTTTTTTTTTTTTTTTTTTTTTCTTTTCATATTCTTTAACCACCACGAAAAAATATTCAGTCCCCTCAGTTTTTTTGTGTTAAATGATTTCACACTGTATATCTTTTGCACATAAATCCCTTTCTTACATAAAATATAATGTAATGTATAGAATAACTAATAAATTGTAAAGGAAGTTTAATTAGCAACTATGAAATCTTAAAAAAGTACAAGTATGAAATTTATAATGGCAACATTAAAATAGATGAAAGTAAAATAAAATTTAAATTATAGAATGTACTTTATAAAATTAATAATAAGTGGTTAAAAAATATTTTTTAATTACTTCAAACATAGAAGTTATTTGGCAAGATTGTTTGGATTAAATTACTACTTTCAAAATTTTCAGATTACTATGGTTCATATTTAAAAATCTCATTGCAGTCTTAATTTAATCCACATACAACCATTGTAAAAATCACTCGTTATCATATTTCAAGATCAGCAGCATACATTTTTTTTTTTCAAAATCTGCATAATATTAAATATTGGCTTTTGATAGTCAAGTTTATACAGAATGAAATTCCGACTTTTCCAGGTGTGTTTCAAGAAATTCCATTCTATCCGCGTAATGTACGTTGGCTGTACTAAGAGGTAAATTATTATGGTATTACTTGTATTATGTAGCAAATTCACTTAATTATTTAATAAATCCAGAGACATTTATTCTTAATTTTCTGGTATACTTTGTTTGATAATTTTGTTTAGTTTTCCACTTAAGAAACTTAATAAAATTTAAGATATATTATTTGATAACAAGTATTTTTATTTAATTATTACTCATGATCAACACCAGTTCAACACAAGGCTAATCCGGTCCTTATAATCACAATGCAATGCTAAATAGTTAGGTTAGATTTTAGGTAAATTTAATTTGCGTGAGGTATTCTTAAAAGGCACCTTAACCTTGAAAACACAAATATAATTATAATAGTTGTTGTTTTTCTCCACTGAAGATTGAAATTAGAATCTTCCCAATCTGGAATAAAATAAGACTTTTTTTGCAGACATTCTGCAGCTAAACGAAAGAAGAAATCTATTTTAATAAATTGAGGTATTTTATATTTATTTCACAGCATACATAAGGAAAAAATATGTGCATTAATTTGTATTAAATTTGGTATGTCATCATACTGCTATAAATTAATTTCAGGATTATGCCAGAGAAAATTTCCTGAAATTTGGAAATATTATTTACTAATAATAAATAAATTTAGAGGAAGAAGCAACATTAAATTATATGATAACATAAAATAATTACTTAAAATTGAATTAGAATAATCAAATATTTTTAGCGAATGTAGTTATATTACATGGCTAGCCTAGATGACTGATTACTATTTTTTTATTTTCTGAAAATGGCAAGGTATTTATTAAAAAAAAAAAAAAAAAAGGTTAAAAAGATTTTGCGGTAAAATTCTAGTATACGGTAAGGCTTTGGCACGATTTGAAAATTGTCGGCCAAGACCAAATGACCCGTTTACTGTGCATCAAGATGTCGCCAAATCCCATTATTATTCTAACCAAAGAACGTCTATGTAAGAAAAGGTTCCATACAAGTAAAATGCCATTACGCCGCTAGAATGCGGAGGGAAAATTTGCCAAGGGATTTGGCGACTGAACCTGGCCAGAATTTCCCTCTCCACGATGTGTACAGGAAATTGAGAAACACGTGTTAAGAAGAAACGCTTTTTGACAAAAGAAAAGTACGAAATCCGTTTTTAATTATTTACGAAAAATCCACGAAGAAACGTTTTATCAAGGACGTTTCCTTCTTGGATTTTTTCGCAATAATTTTAAAACGGATTTCGTAGTTTTTTTTTTTTTTTTTTTCCCTGAAAATAACTATCCATGAATTAATTTACTTGCGCCAAAAAATATTTTCTTTTCCTTTAGAGTTTAACCACTTGCTTAAGACTAACTTCATGGTTGCGGTGCCGTGCGCTACAATATAAACAAGCGTAAAGTGTCTCATTTACGCCGCTCCGCATCGCGAGTGCAATTCAGAGCTGTAACTCGAGAAATAAACAATCTCGTTGTTAGCGACGTGTGCACCACGTTATTTTCATTTTTGCGATAAATGCTTATCGACGTGTTCACGTCGCTCGCGGTTTTTGAGACAAAAGCCTTTTTAGCGCAAGTGGTTAAAGAAATTTTAAACGATATTCATTTTATGACTCTTGATAATGTGACCTTCGAACTTTGACACCGGTTTCGAGCTGGCCAGATATATCAGACATGCACAGCTGTTTTCCTCTATGATGGAACGGAGCCACAGCACGTCTGTTGCAGAGCGGTTTTCCTTCTTTACAATACAATTCTTTGATTCTAACCTCCATGGTACCGTATACTAGGATTAAACCCAATTTGTTTTATACGAGAACAGGTTACTTTCTTTAGTTCATGCCCTGCACATGCGATTCTCGAGAATATTGGAACCAAAGTTGCTTTGCCCTTTCTAAAAACAATCAATTGGAGCTGCGAAAATTGGCCTCTATGCCAGTACCCGAATGACACTCACGTGATACGTAATTCGCCAAAAAAAGTTACCTCTTTTCCGACGTCGGCGCAAAAATCGCTTTTTTTTGGCTGGATCGTTTATGAACTTCCCTGACTTTTCCAGATTTTGACAAAAATACTTAAATTCCCTGACTTTTCCTTGAATATTTTGGTCAATTTTCAAATTCCCTGACTTTTCCCGGTTCTCCAGGTAGCGTGGCAACCCTGTTTATTCTTCCCTTCACTTATTACAATATTTCATTTTTTATATGCTCGGCTATCCAAAATTTCAAGAGCTTTCCGAATATTTTTTTTTTTTTTTTTTTTTTTTTGGAGTTTTTACTATACATACATTTCAGTATTTACATCGTCACAATTGCACAGACACATACTTGAAGTGAATTTACTTTTACAGCTAAACACAGGAACTGGAAAATAAAAAAGTACTTATTCGGAGATTGTATTTCTTTTTCGTTCATGAAAATCAAAGTTCATTACATAAACATGCATTCACACTGCACAAGCATGTATGGAAATTCTTAATACATTTAGTAATCCTGATAATTGATTACGCATTTAGTAAATAAATCAGAAAATATTTTAATGTATAACAAATGAATAAAGTAGTTAAGCTTTTATAAAACAGCATAATACTACAGTTATGAAGATATTTAATATTATAAAGTTAGGTAATTTAGTAAATTTCAGTTGTTCACCAAAGCAATGAATTATGAAGTTCCTTGTATATCTTTATAAATAAACTTTACTGCTGTTTTAAGCAATTAAACAACTGTTCAAGTTATTTTAATAATTTTGAAATATATACACTAAAAGAAACAATAAAATGTATTAATCTATTTGTCAACCTTGATTTTGGCACGAAAGTCTGCAGAATGCTTCGTAGTTTTTAAAGCACATAGAGGGCACTGCAATTCTTTCTTATTCCTTGACCTGAAGTTTTCTTGCAATTTTTTTTTTTTTTTTTTTAATTGCTGTATTGGCACACATACAATTTTTGTATAGTGGCTTCAGATGTGGATAAGTTTTTCGAACACTTTCGTTTGTTTTACTGGCATCGCTGAATTTTGTGATGAAATGCAGCACATTTATTGCAGAGTGTCACCTTCCAAATTTTTCATACTGTTAATGTATACATCAGCAGTGAATTATTCTCCTCTTTTCTCAAATACACTACGGCGATAAACAATAACCATTCACTAAAGATTTTGTGTAAATTCCACCTCATAATAATTTAAATTGCGAAAATCTCACAATTAGCACCTAAACACACTATTCAGCAGCACAATTTTTTCGAAAGCGCGCCGTAGTAGTCAAAAGTGGGGTAGGCGTCTTGCCAGGTGAAACTAGTCGATATTTCCGTGACGTCAAAAATTCGAAAAGTGGGGTAGGGTTTGGAAATACGCACCCGGGTCGAGCTCTCAGTATTCAGTGATCTTGGTGGATGTTCCAGTTTATTTCCAAACGGCATTTATGCTCGGCATTTTGTTCAAAAGGTTTTTTTTTTTTATTTTATTTTATTATTTTTTTTTTTATTTTAAGGAAAGATTACACAAATGTGATAATTATTTGCAGAAGTAAATTTACTCAACTCAATATTCTATTATGAGCTTGAAGCAAGGAGGTTAGAATACTTGGCTTGAAGAGTGGAAACAGAAAAAAAAATGTCGGACGCTATGCTACGAAACGGTAAATTTATTTTAAGGTTTGTATTTGATTTATTTTTACCAACTTTATTCTTTACATTGATTACAGTGTTACACTTTAAATTTGTGTATATCGGAAAGGTAAGTGAAGTAAATTTGTTGAATCATGTTATTGTGTAATAAGTGTATAAAATTTGTGATATCAGTATTAATAAAACTATTTTTATTTTTTACATATTGTCTATCACATTATTATTATCTTATGCTCTCTTGCATGAGTAATATAAAAGGATGAAGGGCCGCATTTATTTATTTTGTCTGTTAACTTGTAGTTAAGAGATATTCAAGCAATGTAATTCGTATCTACTAAAACTAGTAAATATTTGTGTAAGTAATCATGTCATTTGCGGGGAAGGAGGCATACAACTGTGGTAAAATTTTAGGGAATTGTTCACGTAATTATGTTAAATTTGGTAAATAAACATGTTAGAGATTATTAAAACAGAAAATGAAAGTGTATTTTTTTTTTTTTTTTTTTAAATTTTCGAATTCAGAAATCAAATATTACTTGATTTTTATTAGGATATATGTATTCAGTTTCTAAACGCTTTTATGATGATTTCACCAGTATTCTTAGAAATTATTTCCAATTTTAAAGGTTATAATACAAATCCTTAATGTAAGTTTGTTTACTCACTGTAAACTGGGTTTGGGTGTAGATTATTCATGCCAGTAATTTTGATGCAAAAATTAAATACTGTCGCAGTTTTTTGTTGCTTTGTGCGAATGTGTATTTTATTAACTGCTTTACTGGAGGCTTTAAGGGGAATAACATTGTTTTGCAGTAAACAAATTAAAAGTGCTTCTAATTATCTTCACCCCACCCACCAAAAAGAGTCAAACTCATTGATGACTTTCCAGAGAGAGAAATGTTTGTATGGGTATCTTTATGTGTATTTTAGTGACACGTCCCTAAAAAGCCCTCTCCGAGGCAGATGGCCCGTGAGTTCTTCCCTATAATCAAAATAAACCAAACTAATCAGTGATGCATCCAATGGCACCTATTTGTTTACAGCCATCTTTTTCCATAGGATGCATGCACACCTTATTTTGGTTTAATCCTAGTATCCGGTGCACTAAAAAACGGGACATATACGATGAGTAGTTAATGGGTCATTCAAAGAAAATATGTAGTTAAACATAGTATATACCATTTATATAGCATATATACTATGTGTGTATAGTATATATATAGACGTTCTTTGGATCATTTTTGGTGTTAATTTTCAAAGTCGCGCCAAGACTGCACCGTATACTAGGATTTTACCCTTATTTTTTTTAGCACTGTTCTGCTCCCCATGCACGTAGCAATCTGTTTCTGCTGAAACAAAAAGAAAAAAAATCAGAGAATTGCAGACTCGTCGCTAAAATAAGTAGGGTCCTATATTAATCCCAGATGAGGGGGGTACCCTTTAAGTAAACCATAGTATATATTGTGTGTGCTGAAAATTAAGTGAGATTTAGGCAAAGATAATGAAAACTGCGGTATGCAGTTCACCCTTATACTTAAATTGCTGAAATTTATATAGGAGGGATAACTGACAAAAATGTCTGGAGAACTGGAAAGCTATTGGAGGAATGCTGTGCTCATACCATAAGTTGCCACCTGATTACTGGGTTACTGGGGGGGGTGCCACATAAATATTTTTTGGCAGACTTATGTATTAACTCATCAGAACGGCTCAAATGTGTTTTAGCCTACTACTTGGAGAGTTTTTTTGGGGGGGGGATGGTTATAATGTGCTAAATGTGGCAACGCTGATATTTTGAAGCTGTTGAACGATTATATGCATTATTAACATATTTGTAATTTAGCTATTTTATTGGTTGGGTGACACTAGTGATTTGTTTGAAATTAACTGTTAATTTGAATGGTTAAGTTACTGAAGGTCCATGCTCTTATGTAAAAACGTTTTTTTAAAAAATATTTCTGATGTTAAAGTTTAACACATTCGTTTAACACATTCACTTCTGATCATGCACTGGTGCATGATTGGCGTTATTGCTGAAAAGCCAGTCATGGTCTTGGGTGCCTCTCACGCTCTGGTGCTTAAATGTCTTGTCGTTTATTATGAAGTTAATTCAGCATTACGTTTTGAATATGTATGCTGATATTGGTGTGGATCAAGGGCTAGAAACTAGCCTTAAATGTATGTGGTTTGAAATGAAAATAGTTTCATTTCATGCAAAGATCATAAGCGAATAGCATACATATATAATAAATGTATATTTTGCAATAATATGCTATCTTAAATTAAATTGAGAAGCTTCTCAGAATTTCTCAAGGTTTTTGGAAAGCAAAAGAGTACAATTACAAGATATCTATTTATTAAATGTTAAATGTACATGCTCCTGTATTTTTGCTTTTCCAGCGTAGCTTTATCTTAAAATAAGTCTTGTACTGCATTGCACGCGAATATAAAACAATTTTAATTATAATTCCACTAAAAATGGCATACAAAATACGTAACACTGCCCCCTTCCCAAGGACTGCATGTCCTGGGCAGTACAGTCCCTGTACAGGAAGCCAAACTTAAAAGTAAGGCATCAATGCAATAATAAACATTATAACAGCTACAACATAAACTGAAGTCCAAGGGAAAATTGCATTTCCTTAAAAAGTCCGATCTGGGAATCCAAGGATATATGTAAACATATACACATGATTAATATCTGCTACATATGCTGTGTGATCGTAGGCGGCACTTCCAAACGTGATGTTCTCGTTTAAAGGCCTCAGTCAATTGAAACAGCCATTGTTACGTCCAGCATTAGCGATCACTTGAAAACAAGGGAATTTTCATATTCAGTTGAAATGCTTCCCTACCAGTCGTCGAACTCGTAGGGGTTGCCAGAGGTTACTTGATGTGTGATGCTGTTTATCATGGGGTCGGAAGTTCGGTTGTTTTCGAAATAACCAATGATAGATATGGAGGCTGACTCCTCGTAACTGTTCTTTAGGGTTGTAGTTCATTTTTGATGTAACCTCTTTGGCTTTTCAGCGCTACTGTTTCAAAGTTGTATCTATGAAAAGCAGGGCTGTGGAGTCGGTAGAGAAAATGACCAGCTCTGACTCCCTCATATATGTGTGTAAACATATACACATGGGTTAATTGATAGCATAGCAAATTATTTATATTAATTAGCATTTATTATGAAATGGAAAAATTGGCATTAGTTATTTCTAAGAAACAGTATAGCTTCGGCAAGATCTTCTTTGTTGAAAGGCCATAGATCCGATTTGATAAACTTCAGAGCTGAGAATAGTCTTTCCACACTAACTTGAGTAGGAGGAAGATCCACTACTGTTATAGCTACTTCTTTTAAATTTTCAGGGTAGATATTTTATAAGTTCTAAAAGAGGTTTCTTGCAAGCGCAATCATATTTCTCTATTGCTTCAAAGGCCATGTAAAAATCTTGTTTGTTTTTTTCTATTTTTATATCTAAAGGCTCATGGTTCTTTATTGTCATTTGCTTTGCCTTAGCCTTTTCAATATTATCCAAAAATATTTCTCAAAATCTAATTCATCACTGGAAGAGGAAAATAAAGACTCAATTGCAATGTCTGCAGTTTAACTGTCCTGATTCGAATTCTCCACGAGAATAATTTCATTCTTTAAAGTTCATGGATGGCTTGCCTCTCCATTTTAATTTGTTCGTCGCCCAAAAAAATTCAGTGTTTTGGATTTACATATATTGAACCCAGCAAGATTTCATTGTCTAGCAAACTAGTTTCTTTTTTCTTCATTGAAGAAATTCCTTCTGCAATAAACCTTCAATTTCAGAAAGAACAAACATCACATTCTTCCATTCTTGTCTGCTGTCAATTCTTCAGATTGCAACTTTTTTGAGCTATACTGTGTAGAAAGAAGAGTTTCCAATTCTGCAAGATCATTCGACTGTCTGTCTGTTAGTGAAACATTAGGGTTATCTACATCTTCTAAAAAGTTAATAATTCTAACAACCTTTTTATCATCAAATATGTACTTCTGCATTGTGTTGCTTGATCAATAATTGCTCCTTTTCCTGCTCGCTTCCTAAGAATGGCATCGATTTTGGGAATTCTTGCTGCTATTGCTACTTACTTAAATTTAACAGTGAAATTTCTAACTAAATGAATCAGTTTAATCACTTATGGCAAACATCTAATCTATCCTCCTCCCTTATATTTATTAATATGTCAACAAAATAGAAAATAACTATTTATTAATGTATATCACTTATAAATAGAAATAATAACTCAGCTTGTCATTAATTTTTTTCAATTACTTTCATTTTAAATTCAAACTGTCCAACAAAAACTGGAGTCAGAGTCGACCTGTTTTTAGCGACTCCTTTTACCCCAAAATCTGCCTGGCTCCGACACTACAGCATTGATAAAAAGTCTTCTAGGGGTATCATTTTATTTTAATTCCTTTTATGAAAATAGCTAACTTAAAAGACACATTCCATTCACATAAATTCACAAGTAAAAAATATAGGTTAAGTACCGTATTTGATGGCATATAAGACTCACCCTTATTTAGAAGGCCACACACATGTAGAAAAAGTTATGTGTCTAGACCTTTATCCGGGCTAAAAATAGCATTCAGTATTGAAAGTTAACCTGTGTCCTTCACGTATAAGATGCAGGTAACTTTTCTGAGACCAAATTTAGGAAAAAAAAAGTGTCTCATATGCCATCAAATACGGTAAGTTTACATGCATGCTGGAAAAAAAAAAAAAAAAAGCGATTCATAAGATGTTTTAAAGCAAAAGAAAAGAAAAATGTACACTATAGGTCTATTAACAACTCAAAAAATACAATGTAATATATTCTAAAAGGAAAATTATATAATACATAATAGTACAAATTAAATTGTATAATAAATGCCTAAAACTCTATAATGAATAATGTTCATAACTATATAATAAGTGCCAACACACATCACATTATGGTACATAACACTGCAATGAAAGGAAGGATATTTAATTAGAAACATACCTTTTATAGTTATT